AAGATTGTTTTTAATAATTTAAATAAAAAATATTTTAAAAAGAAAGAAAAATAAACAAAAGCATCTTTTCTGGGGTCATTGGTTAAAAGCACTTGTTGCTCTTGCAGAGGATCCAGGTTTAATTTCCAGTACCCAAATAGAGCATCACAACTGTCCATCCGTAAGTCCAGTTCCAGAGGGTCTGATGCCTTCTTCAGACCAGGTACAAACAAACGGACAAAATACTCATCTATATAAAATAAATCTTTTAAAATACAAAATATAATAAATCTTTAAAAGAATACATCTTTTCTTCATAAGTTAGCCAATGCTGGGTGTTTAGTTACAGTAAAAGGAAATAAGCCAAAAAGCCATCACTAGTGTTATTTCTCTGTGCATTTGAGTGACTGTATTTTAGTAACAATTTCAACAAAATCCCTACTTCTGTTTCCTTATGTTTGGAGTGAGGGGCAGGAAGGTGAGGAGGGAAACAAGGATTCGTGAGAATGGACGAGGGTCATGGTTCAAACCTGAGCTGTTGACCTATCTCATGCAGGCAGGAAGCTGGGTGAGCCAGAGTTCAAAGAGCCTAAGAAGCACTAGATCTATGTGGGGGGGGGTGGGGGAGGGGCAGAGTTAATTATGAACAATTGTGCATAGCAAAATTTGTCATCTTTGGGATTCCACCACCACGGATGGGTGATCTGCAAGAGCCTAAGGAAGGGCTCTAGCTTGGAAAAGACTCAAGAACACCTTCTATATTTTTACAAAAAGGATTCCGCCCACATGCTCTGACTGCAAATGAAAATACATTTAAAAGTCATGCAGAGCGCAGAGCTGTGACACTGCCAACGCACTGGAGTTCAGAAACTTCTCAGTGGGTAGGAATTAAAAAGATTTCTCCCTCCTTAGGATGATGAACTGCTTATGATATAATTATTTCCTGTGCAATACAGATTCTACAACCAACTGATTTTTCTTTAGAGTGTTAAAATTAAGTAAGATATCTACAAACAGGGTGTGGTGGAGCACACCTTGAACTCTGAGCTACTTGGGATGCTGAAGTAGGAGAGCACACTTTTAAGACCAGTTAAAGCAACTTAGTTAGTAAGGCCCTGCCTTGAAAACCTCAGTGGTGCAATCCTTGTCCAGCATGCATGGGTACTGGAAAGAGATGGGGGAAAGAAAGAGGGCATGAGTGGGGAGAATGAAGATGAGAGAGAAGGAGGGCGGGAGGATGAGCAGGGAAAGCCTAGAGCAGTGCACTCTGGACAGAGGACCGATGAGTGACCCTTACTCAATGCACTGTAAGCTATCTCTCTTTGATGTCCATTCTAGCTCCTTATATATTATGGAATAACCCTATCATATGGGTTTGTAGAATGACCCCGTGAATTCACATGAACTTTCTTTAGCCAAATAAACTTCTAATGATGTATACAACAGCTTTCTTTCTGTTTCCGTGATGGTACAGGCTCATTTGAACTTGTCCTTGTGGAATTAATAAGAATATCAACATACCAGAGAACACCCCCTGACCGTACAGGTCAGCTCTTCGATGTGAATGTGGGAGGTTAGCTAGACATCAAATAAGAACACTCCAAGTCGGGAGACTCAGAATCAGAAACTCAAAAAACAGACCATCCTCATATTCACCCTGTGTTATCTATCCTTTGTGAAAACCACTAAATCTCCAATGTCTTCCTGGATAACACCACATGTCTGTGCAATGACCAGGGGGCTGAGTGTGTCCTTGTTGAATATCAAATCTGAAGTCAGGACACTGACTGCAGAACCTCAGTACAAAGATTCCCAGGGATCTGATGGAAAGGCAGTGGGTAGGGCCACAGAGATCACATGCAGGACTGTCATGAGAGATTAGTTTGCATAGTAACCACCGGCCTGACAGAATTTCACACTACAAATACAAACATTTCTCAGCATAGACCTGAGCACACCCACATCCTTGCAGATCAATTCCACATTTTAAGGTTTTCTTTATGGAAGTGCTTGGGACAAACTAGGAACTCAGCAAATGATTTCTTTTCCCTTTTCTAATCAAATGGCTCATTTCCCAGGAAGAAATTATAGTTTGATTTGAAATACTGAAAAGGAGAAATTTTAAAAGTTTTTTTTTAACCAAATAGTTTGTGTAACACTTTCCATATGTAACAAGTATTGATTTTGCTTTGATTTCTTGTGCGTGTGTGTGTGTGTGTGTGTGTGTGTGTGTGTGTGTGTGTGTGTGTGTGAAGTGTGGTGTGTGCTTGTGTGGTGTATGCTCATGTGTGTGGGTATGTCTGTATATATCCCGAGGCCACACTCCACCACACTCTACCTTACACCTTTGGGACAAGCTCTCTCATTGACTCTGGAGCTAGTAAGTCCCCATAGTTCTCTTGACCCCACCCTCCACAGAGAGTTACAGAAGCACCTGGACCATGGCCACCTTATTATGCGGATGCAGGCACCTGAACTCAGGTTGTGGAAAGTGTGTGGCAAGCACTTTTACCCACTGAGCTATCTCCACAGACCATATATCCCTTGCTTTCTAACTCAAACATGAAATAGGATTCTTTCTGGCCTTCAGTCCATTGCTGTTGCTCTGGAGGGTGGTGTGGGGCTAGACTGCAGCCTCAAAGCAAACCTTCCAGACTCCCGTCTCTCTCTCTCTCTCTCTCTCTCTCTCTCTCTCTCTCTCTCTCTCTCTCTCTCCTCTCTGATCCACTTCCCAGTCCATGGCACTGCTGCAGCTACTTTGATGGGTTCCCATGTCTGCTATTGTATGCTGCAGCCTTTTTTATGACACGCAAAGGGTACAAATGAAGAAATAATCCTATCCATTCTGATTGAAACTCTCCTGACTTACTTTTCTTTTTTGAACCTACAATCTATCATGTTATTAAAATTGAAGGTTAGTTGCACAAAAGCTGCACACCAGATAATCCAATTAAAAAGTGGGGTACAGAACTAAATAGACAATTCTCAATAGAGGAATCTAAAATGGCTGAAAGACACATAAGAAAGTGCTCAGTATCCTGAGCCATCAGGGAAATGCAAATCAAAACAACTCTGAGATACCACCGCACACCTGTCAGAATGGCTAAAATCAAAAACACCAATGACAGTTTATGCTGGAGAGGATGTGGAGAAAGGGGAACACTCCTCCACTGCTGGTAGGAGTGCAAACTTGTACAGCCACTTTGGAAATCAGTATGGAGATTTCTCAGGAAAATGGGAATCAGTCTACCACAAGATCCAGCAATTCCACTCTTAGGCATATGCCCAAAAGATGCACATTCATACAACAAGGACATCTGTTCAACGATGTTCATCACAGTATTATTTGTAATAGCCAGAACCTGGAAACAACCTAGATGCCCCTCAATTGAAGAATGGATAGAGAAAATGTGGTACATTTACACAATGGAGTACTACTCAGCAGAAAAAAAAAAAACCAAAACAAAACAATGGAATCTTGAAATTCACAGGCAAATGGATGGAATTAGAAGAAACCATTCTGAGCAAGGTAACTCAGTCACAAAAAGACAAACATAGTATGTACTCACTCATATGTGGATTTTAGACATAGAGAAGAACTACCAGCCTGCAATCCACACTGCCAGAGAAGCTAGCAAACAAGGAGGACCCTAAGAGAGACATACATGGTCCCCTGGAGAAGGGGAAAGGAACAAGATCTCCTGAGCAAATTGGGAGCATGGGGGAGGGGGAAGGGGGGAGGGAAAATGAGAAGGGGAGAAGAGGAGGAGTGAGGAGCATGAGGGAGCAGAGAAGCATGAATTCTTAAGAACAATATATGACCCAACCTTATTCCTTCAATAATGTATTCCTGTATAGTACAGGAATTTCATTCTATCAGTGAACACACACCCATGTGTACATACATTCTCTGTCTCTGTCTCTGTCTCTGTCTCTGTCTCTGTCTCTGTCTCTCTCTCTCTCTCTCTCTGTGTGTGTGTGTGTGTGTGTGTGTGTGTGTGTGAATGTATGTATATATGTGTGTGGGGGGGGATTGTTTCTATGTGTGCGCACATGTGCACGTGCTTAAAGAGGCCAGAGGTTGACATGGGGTATTTTCCTGACTCACTCTTGACCTCATATATTGAGACCAGCGTCTTTCATTTGAACAAAAGCTTGCCAGCCTGGGCTAGGTAGCTAGGCAGCATGCTTTGGGGATCCCCAATTTACAACTCTAGAGAACTAGGATTACAGGAGGACTGCCACAATTATCTAGCATCACAAACACTCACATTTTTTGGGCCTTAAGTTATTTTGTGTATTATTAGTATAAAAATTTTCCCAGAATGCTTAGAGGAGGAGAGAGGGATAGTCATATTACCTTCATTTTACTGGTGAAGAAAAGAGGGAATGGTTCTATTAAGATACCCAGAACACCAGCAGGCAGTGTGGACCTGGGACTTGAACCCTTGGCTAATTCGATGTAGTTATACGGCTGCACTCTTTCCTGTGGTCCAAAGATGCCAAAGCTAAGAAGTCTTTCCTTTTCCTATAATGATACCTGCTTATTGGAGGACATGGAGAGTCTATCTGTTTGGTTATAAGCAAAATCCTGCGACATGGCCCCGTGTGGGTTCCTACCACTGATTTTCTTAGTAAAGGAGACTGATGTCTTTTTATGAAAATGAGCTCTGTTATAGATTTACAAGAAAATTGGAGCATATTAGTAACCGAGTTCAACAAATCTTTCAATGATCATAACGGATAAGATATAGTTTTCTACAGTTGTTTTTATCATTTGACTGATAGTATAAGTACTCTTCATAAAGCATTTGTAAAATGTTAAATAATATAAAATTATGGTATTTTGAAATAATACCTATGGAAATGTCATTTGCCTTCCTCACAGATACCAGGGTTCTCAGCACAGGAGGAAAACAGATGATCATTTTTGCTGTTTTCAGGAATGGGCAAAATGATTCACAGTCTTGTAACCTGGGACCTCCTCTGCATTGTATTCTGTATCTAAACATTTTTCTTACCTCCAAATCCATCAGGCACATATGTTTTAAGAACAATGTTGCAGAAAATCGTTGGCAGTGATAATGGTTTGTTTCCCTCATTTCTTAGGGAGATGTGTCGGTAGCCTGCTTGGAGGCCATCCAAAGGAAGGATTCTCTGGCCAATCAGCTTGTTGTTGTCATCATACACTGCAATTCTCAGGACAGCAAGATCAGGCAGAATCACCTGCAATTTAAAGTCTCATTGTTTATTGTAATAAGGCTCCCCAGAACTATGACTCCAGGAATCTCGACCAAACCAATCCTGCCCCTTAAAGAAGAAAACAAACCAATGAGCCATTAGCATTCAGCCTAAAGTATCCCGCACAAGATTGGTGCCCAGGATACCAAGAAGGCCATTAATGGGTACAGGTTTCCAGGAAATCATCTCCTCAAATATATTAAATGCATGGATGACAAAGACTGGTGCTCCGATTCTTATTATTTTCCCTCCCCTACATCCAACACAAAAACAGAGAAATAGAATAACTTTTCTTATTTTAGAGATTATCAGGAAGACTGGGATTGGGACTCTTGACTTCTAGTCCTGTGTCTGTCTGCCACTTGGGCTACTTATAGCATTAAGTTCTGCCTGTTTTTTTTTTTTTTTTTTTTTTGGAGAATAACACTTCACATATAAAAGACAACTTATGTGCTAATTTTCATCCTCCTTGCTTCTTGCACTCTAAATTGTTCACACATTTTGGGATGGTGGGTAGCAGAAAGGAAGAAGTCCAAGTGTCCTTCTTTGTAGATGAAATGGTTCTATATATGAGAGACCCTAATGACTATATGAAAAAACCAAAAAAAGTTAGTTCTGATGAAAGGTTTCAGAAAAATTGAAGGGTTTAAAATTAACACACCCAAAGAAAAAGTGAGTAGCCTTTGTCTATACCAGTGGTTCTTAATGTGTGGGTCACAACCCCATTGAGGGTGTGTGTCAAATGACCCTTTCACAGGGGCTAACTAAGACCGTGGGAAAACACAGGTATTTATGTTACAATGCATAACAGTGGCAAAATTACAGCTATGATGTAATAATGATAATTATTTTATGATTTGGGGTCACCACAACATGAGAAACTGTATTAAAGAAGCATTAGGAAGGTTGTGAACCACTGGCCTACATCAAAGACAAACATGCTCAGGAAGAAATCAATGAGATAATCACATTCACAACTGCTTCAAAAACAAAACAAAATAAAGCATTTTGAAATAATGTAACAGAAATAGAAAAATCTTAGCATTCCCAAAGAAGAACCAAAGACAGCAGAGAACCAAAACAGTGCTGAACAAAAAAGAATAATATTGGTGGTTGATGGGGATGTCCTTCTGTATCCTGTGAATATATGTTTCTCTTATTGGTTGATGAATAAATGCTGATTGACTAGTAGCCAGTTAGGAAGCAGTCTCCAGAGGGAGACTCCAGGTAACCACTGAAGGGATAACATGCTGCAGCATTACGGGTAAGCCATAGTCTCATGGCAACACATACTTTAATAGAAATGGGTTAATAATTAACAGAGACCTAGCAAATAGGAAGCCTGAGCCATTGGCCAAACAGTTCTAATTAACATAAGTCTCTGTGTGTTTATTTGGGACTAAACAGGTATGGGACCAGGAGGGACAGAATTTCTGTCTACAGATGATGTCACTATACATGATTTCATGCTCTACTTCAGAGCTAGAGTAACAAAAGCAACGTGATATTGATCTAAAGCTACATATTCAGATCAACAGAACAGAATGGAATTGATGGTCCTGATATAAATCCATACAGCTATACCCACCTAGTTTGTGACAAAGATGTCAAAAGTTATATTGGAGATAAGATAATTTCATTAGAAAATAATTCTGGGAAAGCTGGATATGAAACAAGATCTCTCTCACCCTGGACAAAAACCGAATCCAAACAAATCAAAGAATGTTATGTAAGATCTCAAATCCTGAAGCTGTGGGAGGAAAACACATGGAAAAGTTCCAGATATTGGCACAGAGAAGGACTTTCCAAATAGCACTCCACTTGCTCAGGAAATAATGCCAACAACTGACAAAGGAGAACCATGACATTAGCAAGACTCTGAACTGGAGGAGAAACAGTAAAGAACACTCAGAAAGGCAGAAAAGTCTTGGCTAGCTATAAATCAGACGGAGGATTGATATCCAGAATATAGAAAGAACAAGCAAAAGGTTAAGCATAAACAGCAAGGAATCAAGGAACCTAGTCAATAAATTGTCCAGTGAAATGAACAGAGAATTCTCAAAGAGTAACAAATATATATGGGGGTTGATGAGCTGGCTGAGCAGTTAAGAGCACTGATTTCTCTTTCAGAGGACCCAGGTTAAATTCTTTTAACCCCTGTGGCAGCTTACAACCATCTGAAGCTCTAGTTTTAGGGAATCACATACTCCCTTCTGGCCTCCATGGGTACCAGGAATGTACAAGGTACACAGACATACATGGAAGTGAAATACCCATGCACATAAAAAAAAATAACATTAAAGAGAGAGATACAAATGTCAAATAAACGTATGAAAAAATTGAACTTCACAAGTCATCAGTAGAAATGCAAATTAAACAATACTGAGATTCGATGTCACCCTAGTCAGAATGGCTATCAATAAGGAAACAAATGACAACAAATGCTGACAACAATGTAGACAAAATAGAACCCTTATACAGTGCTGGTGGGAATGTAAACTAGTCCAGCCACTACAGAAATCAGTATGTAGGTTCCTCAAAAAACTAGAGGTATCATATGACCTAGACACTCCTGCATTTAAGCAAATGCCTCCAGGTGAATATACCACAGAGGTCCTCACACATTAGTGTTTATTGCAGCACTACTCATCACAGCTAAGTTACAAACCACCATAGCTGTCCAAATGAAGAGAACTGGAGTAAGAAAATACGGTGTATATACACAATGGATTTTTTTCTCAGACACAAAAAGTTAATGCTGATTACAGGAAATGAGGCAACTGGCCATAATCATATTAAATGGGAAAAACTCAGCACTAGACAGACAAATGTCATATGCCTTTTGTCATCTGTGGTTCCTAGACTTCATACAGACATACAGAATTTTGTTATGTATATAACCGGTAAGTAGAAAAGAATTATGTTAATAGCAGCATTATTCATAATAGCCAGAACCTGGAAGCAACCTAGATGCCCCTCAACTGAAGAATGGATAGAGAAAATGTGGTACATTTACACAATGGAGTACTACTCAGTGGATAAAAAACAATGGAATCTTGAAATTTGCAGGAAAATGGATGGAACCAGAAGAACCCAATCACACGTAAACAACATGATATGTATTCACTCATTTATGGATATTAGACATAGAGCAAAGGAGTACCCGCATACAATCCATACTGACAGAGAAGCTAGGAAGCATGGTCCTCAGAGAAGGGGAAAGGGACAAGATCTCATGAGCAAATTGGGAGCACGGAGTGGGGAAGGGAAGGAGAAGAGGGCAGGGTGGGGGAGGAGGATATGAGGGAGTAGCAAGATTGAGTCGGGAAGAATAGAGGAGAGCAAGAAAAGTGATACCATCATAGAGAGAGCCATTATAGATTTAAAGGGAAATGTCCGGAGATCTAAAAGGATGACACCAACTAACAATCTAAGCAATACTGGAGAGGCTACCTTAAATGTCCTTCCCCTATAAATGAGATTGATGACTACCTTATATGTCATCCTAGAGCCTTCATCCAGTAGCTGATGGAAGCAGAAGCAGACACCCACAGCTTAACACTGAGCCGAACTCCTGGAATCCAGTTGTAGAGAGGGAGGAGTGATGAGCAAAGGGGTCAAGACCAGGCTGAGAAAATCCACAGAAACAACTGACCTGAACAAGGGGGAGCTCATTGACCCTAGGACAGCTCATTGACAGCTGGGAAACTAGCATAGGACTGAACCAGGTCCCCTAATGTGGGTGTCAGTTAGGAGGCCTGGGCAGTCAATGGGGGCTCTGGTAGTGGAATAGTATTTATCCCTAGTGTATCAATGGACTTTGGAAGCTCATACCCCATAGAGGGATACTCTCTCAGCCTAGACACATGGGGGAGGGTCTAGTCCCAGCCCCAAATGATGTGAGGGTCTAGTCCCAGCCTCAACCTCCCTGGGGAGCAGAATGGGATGGGATGGGGGTCAGTGGGGAGCATGAGAGGATAGGAGGGAGAGGGAACTGGGATTGATACATAAAATAAGATTGTTTCTAACTTAAATAAAAATGTTCAAACGTGAAAAACAAAAAGAAATTGTCTAGGGGAACGAAGGGAACTACGGGGAGAGCAAAAGGTTAGAAAAGAACAAAGCAGACCATGGTGTAGGGTGTATGTGTTCAGTGCACATTATATGTTTGTATGAAAATGTCCAGAAGTAACAGTCCACACTGACAATTTTTAAAATGTATAAAGAAACAAGTTGGATATTTGTTTATCGAAAAAGGATATGTCTGGGGAAAATGCCTGACTTTCTGCAAATGTGTACTGGGATTATTCATCACATGAAAGAATATTTCTTCATGGCAACAACTGAAAAATTTAAGGAAGAAAAAAGGCACAATGTAATATAATCTGCTGCACCGTGAGAGAAGCGAAATGACAGTGGGAGGAAGGAAGACAGCACTCCCATCACAGGGGAACCTCAATTCAAAATGACCGGTTTTGTCAGCCCTCCTTTGGTTTCTCTCAGCCAGTTGTTCTACTCAGAAATAAACAGTTCCTACTTTGTCAGGAAAGACCAGAAGCTGATTCTCTTTGTCTCGTGATGGAAAGTCTGTGCCCAAAAAAGCAAGAAAACATTTTGCTTGACAGTGAACCTGGCAAGGGAAATAGCGGGCATTCTGGAGAGACCTCCGCCTGTGTGTAGACTTTTCAATGCATCCTCAACTGGAGAAATGAGAGAATGAACCCGAGAGAGGATGGCTGCTTACTCTCTGGACCTGGCAGACAGGACTGGGAAAGGACACCGAGGCCCAGAACACTTCTTGTGAAACGCAAAAATGCTTAGCAGTGGTGCTTCACTTCTGAACACAGGAGCCGCCCATGTCATAGCACTGATCTCAGTTTTCGTGCGGTTTTCATCTAACCTCTGAACTATAAACCCTTCCATGCATGATGGAGGCTACTCTGACCTGGAAATATGTTCAACCCGAATGGAGGTGGCCAAGGAAAGGCAGAGCCAAAACAGCCAGTTTGTTAAGCACAATGATAAGACAGGGACAGAAGTTTCCTGTTAGATGATGGAAAGAAGCAAAGATGGTGTAGTGAATGGCATTCCTACATCTTGTGGGCTTCATGTAGAAAACAGGCCCTATGGTTACCGAGTAACAGTGACACACCGCTAATGCCCTACCTTCCGAAACACAAATGATTCTTCATTGTAAACTGGGTTGAGGCCATTGTTCATAACCATGCGAGTCCGGAACTCCTTCCGTATGGTATCGGTGGGCAACCCGTACATGTCTACTTCCACGTATGTGCCGATCTTCTTATCTGATAGGAATTGCCCTGATATAACCTGCAGCAACACAGACACAGGGTGGGAGAACAGTAGCCTCTGTGTGATCACTGCTAGCAAGGTGTAAGGAAGAAATGAAATTTTTTATTTGGGGAACTTTTTTCTATAAATTTTATTTAAATTAGAAACAATCTTATTTTACATATCAATCCCAGTTCCCTCTCCCTCCCATCCTCCCATGTCCCCCAGAGACGGCCCTCCCCCATCCCCTCCAAAAGGAGGGTGAGGCCTTCCATTAGGGATCATGAAAAATCTATCAAGTCATTTGGAGCAGGGCCTAGGCCCTCCCTTGTGTATATAGAGTATTATTTAGGGAATTTCAATTCATATAAATATTTGATCTTTTTCTCTAGAAATTTTTATATTAAAGCAAAGCATTTTTGAGAAACTATTCTTTGAAAGGAAAAGTTCTTAGCTGACATCCTCTTAGTATGTCTTGAAAAGGAGCAAGGAAATATCCATGCACAAAATCCTAGGAATAAATCATGCCCTCAGTACGGTTTAGCCACTCAGCTGTCCAGATCTGTGGAATGAAGCAATGGCTGTGGCTACGCCCTGAGATCCCTTCCAGTTCTGGGATTCTATAAGGGTATATACTAACTCCTGAGATCTTTTCGAAGCCTTGAAAAGAAACACAGCAGAAGAAAATCAGGGCTGCTGTTCTTTAATGACATTAACGCTGGTTAGCAGTGAGAGAGTTAATTGTAAAGTTCAGTATTAAATTTTATTTACTATAAAGCTAGGGAGTAACTTCATTTACATGTACTTTCCAAACAAGTATGCCCTTCATTTATTTATTTCTCATCTTCTCTAATTTTGAAACTGCTTTTTTTGAAGTACAATCAACATACGCTAAACTATATTTAATTATACAGTTGGATCAATTTTTCGGCCATGTGAGCATATGTTTAAAACTGTCACCACAGCAAGGAAAGCAAGCATTTCTCACACCTCCATTTCTGGTTCTTTGTGACTTATGATAATCTGCCCCCTTCCATCTGTGTCCAGGCACAAGCACTGATTTGCTTCCTGACATCATAGCTTACATTTCTTTTGTTGATTTTAGAATTTTATATGAAATTTTTTATCAGGTGGGAGATACTTTCTGGATGGTGGGTTTCACTTAAAGTCGCTGATACCTTCAGTAGTGAAAACTCACAAAACGGCAGAAATTGAGCCCAAGTTGAGTGCTACATACAATTCTTAACAACATGATGTTAAACTTTTTTTGACTTGAGCTTTCTTCTAGGTGCATTTGTATACATATGTGTGTTTACAGAATCTGTGATGAGCAGGGGCATACCTGCACTGAGCATGTGGCTGCAATAACCCCATCCACTGGGGTTTCAGAGAAAGGATCAAACGTCCGGTCAGGCCGCCTCATAAAATCTGGCTTGAGAAGATACCTGGCAGGACACAAGCACAGGGGTTTATTCTATTGGTAGCTTATGCAATAAATGAAATACCAGATACTTCCTTACTGTCTTCCTTAACTTAGGAGGTAGACTTCCAGGCAGATACTATAGATTAAAGACAATGACCTTGCTTTCTGATGAGTATCAGAGCCAACACAGGCAACCCAGGGTGTGCTGTGTCAAAGGAGAGAAGGCTATTTCTTTGCTTGAACAAGGTGAAGAGAGTGTCTGAAAGAGCTGTCTCCTTTGACCAAAGGCTTGGCTCCTGAGTCCTTTTACATTTGGCTAAATGTCAGTCTCTTTTCCTTATAGAATCCAGGCTGAACAAGACCCATGCACAGACTGCTTAGGCTGGGCAGATTTTCGGTAGAGTATGGGCACTCTGGCAGAGACCCATCTGCCACACAGGTACAGGTACAGAGTATACAGATGGGAGAGTTGTTCTTAAGGCACAAGTGCTGAAAACCAGTTATTCCACCTCGTTTTTCTACAATAGAGATTAAGGTATCCTACCACAAACCCACCACAAAGAACAAGACAGCATCACCACTGGATAGCACATCACTCCTGTGCATCCATCTCGGGGCCACTGGGCTGTCTGTGGTCTCGGCTGAGCTTATATCATCATTACAGAATCTGAGTTCTGTACTTTCATTTAACTTCTTAGTCTTTCAGAAGAAATTAACATTTCCTATTTTGCTGCTTGGTTCACAGATTTTTAAGTGTTATTTAAGTAAAATAGAACAACATTCCCATCATTATATAACTGCTATTTATACGCATGCGAAAGAATCAGAAGAGGATGAAAATTTATTTCCGGCTGAATTAAATTCAACTTTACACCCACAGCTTCATTTGAAATGAAATTTGCTTCATTCCTATATTCATCAGCAATAGGGCTATACATATTTGATGCCTACATGGCTGGTTAATGCCCAAGTGAACATGCCCCACTGCCTGTCTCAGACATAAAAACATCAACTATTGAATTTAGAATGAAATGATAAAACTCTAGAGTGTATATGATGAACTGCATAGTTTGTGGTTAAAAGAAAAGAAAAACCTGCTTAGCAAAATGGGACAGACAAAAAGTTGTGTGTTTGCAAATATAATCTACCTAGAGACTTCACTTGTTTCTATCCACACTTCAGAACCAGCATACATTTAGCTGTCCCTAATTAAAAATTGCATGGTTTCATTAAAACTGAAGTATGGAATCCTGAAACTAGGTGGTAACAGTTTAAATAATATTACTCACCCGCAGGATCCATTATACTCAAATTTTCCCTGATTCAATTGCATCGCTAAATCTGTCAAAAGACAAAAAATAATTTAGCATCTTATCTCCCTGGACAAAGAAGATCCTGACAGGGTGACTAGAAACAATGGAGGCCATATTATTCCCAGGTCCAGAGGTCTCTTCCACACCATAAACAACTACTGGCTCAGTTTAGGGCCTATGACTCTCTTCCACATTGAAATGACCTCCTATTTAATTTAATTTAATTTAATTTAAACATGAGTATGTTTTCATAAAGATTATGCTAGAACTGCTCTGGAAAGTGGATTTGGTACACAAGTCATATGATGTTTACTTTATGTTGAGAGTGGACATGTACAACCAGCTATAGTTAGGGAATGGGCATTGCCTTGGTGCCACATAGGGCAGGAATGTTGGAGCCACAGTAGGGCTGTTAAGAACATAAAACACGATTAAAAGGAACATAAAACAATTTGGGTAACAACCACATAAAATTGATGGTTTATCTGTGTGAGACTTAGAATTCCTCTCATAGGGCTACCCAGGGAGGGCCTGAGTTATCCGTTTTCTCCTGTAGGCAGAGAAACTTTTTTCTTTCTTCTCATAAAGAAAGATAAAAATGGGTAAATGAATTTTTTTGTATTCTTCTCAGAGGAAAATACAAGGCTGCTCAAAGCATGAACTGCTTTAGGATTATGCTGTCCCTTATCGTGGGCTCACTGGCTTACTAGAAAACAGCTTGAGTCATCGGTAAGTAAAAGCAGCCGCATCTGACCTTGCTAAAAAACACTAGAGATTCTATCAGACCTGCATATAGACTCTTCCAGAAAGGACTGTTGGGATTCCAAGCAGTGATATATCCGTAAGGAACCCCGGGCTCCAGGGAGGCTCCCTCAGAGGTGAGAATCATAGCCAGGTCACGTTCATGCCAAAGGGAGGCAGAACAAGGACAGGAGATTGGACAGGGGTCCCCGGGGTAGATGCATGAGAAAAAGAAGTGGCTCTACTGTTGGAAAGTACTGGGAGGCGTCCTCTTAAAGCAAGACTAAGAAGAAAAGAGTTGACACTTAAATATTTTACTTCTATTTTGTTTCTACCAATTTTAAAAGCCATGCAGAAGAATGCATCATATAAAGCAAATATGGTTTGTGCCATTTGTCTATTCTTGTGCCTATTCTTATTTCACTATTTGGAGTCACAGGATTATGGCCAGAGGCTCCCAAGCAAACTGAAAATTTGTACATGTATCAAAAATTAGTCCTTTCAGAAAAGAAAAAAGAATCACTTTGTATTGGAAAGCTGCCCGTGAATAGCCTCTGGAGGACCAAATGACAGATTAGTCCTTCTGACAACATCTAACTCTTCATGTAGCACCTCACAGAGTTTTTCCTATCAGTCTGTGGTTTTACAGTAAAGAGCTACTGCCCCTGGTGTTTGCTGGATGGCCACAGTGGTCAGGGTACTTTCCAAATGGGGAAAGAGTCTCAGATACACAAATGTTTCTTACTAGATTCCATTGAGAAACAAAGACAGAAGAAGGAAAATTAGACACATTTTCGAATAGGAACTACTGTTTAGCAGCCGAGTCATAGCATTGATGAGAGGGATTAAAACTGAAATATTATCCTCTAGTATGGCTTCATTGGGGTTTTAATCTTTTACTATTAGATAAAGCCAAGGAAGCAATGTTTTGTTACATGACAGCTTCTTAAAAAAAAAAATGCCTCAAGCAAATGGAGGCAGCTGCTGGGACTGCCCTGTCCCAGTGTTCTTGTGGAATTTGGGGTCACTGGACATTAGCTCCTACCTGGGGTTTGATAGTTCAGTGAAACCATCTGGCAACCAGCGTTCCAGAAAATCTGAGGCATGTAATTACTGGAATCAACTCGGCCTCCCTTGGGGTAAATGCGGCTCATTTGTCGCTTATTGTAACTGGGTAACTTATTAAGGAAATCCAAAAGCAGCCTAGACAAACACAACAAAGAACTCAAACAGTGGTGGTGTGGGACAACAATGACACACAGGTAGATAATATAGGACAAATCCCATTATACATGACCTTCAGAGGAAAATCACAGTCACAGTGTGGATTCTAGCTGTCATCACAGCTGCCATGATCTTCTTTCACACACCTAATTTTATTAGCACTACAATAAAAGTTATACAGAAAAACCTACATATTAAAATTACATATAGCTGCTAATGCATTGTAAAGATGCCGGCTGCTCTTAAACAGTACCATTCATCCCATTTAGTACATTAGGATACTTTACAAATTCAATCGCGTGTGTCTTCAAGTAGCCCAGGCCAACTGACTCATTAAAAGAAGACATGTTATAATGAACATTGCGCTCTGGAAAAGAAAAGCAAAGATATACTCAGAAACTCAGCCATCAAACCCCTAAAAAAAGCAAGCAGCCAATACAATCATACCCTAAATCTTACATCCCAAATCAGGAAGTGTGTGTGGCCCATTCTCCATGACTGGGCCAGTTGCTCTGAGTTTCATTAACACTGTGTGCATATGGTGAATTAAATGTGGAATAATTAAACAAATGATATAGTCATTGTTATAGTCACTGCTGAGATACGTAGTTTTTGATAATAATGGACTCTACAGACATGGTTGGAAAATATTCTAACTACTTTTGAACCCTCTTTTGTGAGGAACCAGCTTTGAATAGGTATTACATACCACAGAATATCAAATCTTATTCCCCCATCTCAAGGCTACATTGTATCCACTGACTAACTTCTCCTCACTCTCTTGTGGCCAGAGATTATATAATACACAACACAAGAATCAAGACAGATACAATACTTCATAAATATTATAATATAATGTGTCATAACAAAGTAAATAAAGAAGCCTTATGAAAGCATATGGAATGCTACAAGCTAGCAAGTCATGGTCTTCCACAGCCACCTTGTGGATGATGCAGAGAATGACAGCACAATACTATCTCAAAGACAGGACCATATATGGTCCATGAATCAAGGAAAACGTCAATACGTCAGGGGCGAGCCAATCAATGTAACACAGAAGCAGACAGAAAGCTATTGCATTTAACCTGTAGTGTTACCTTCAGCCACATGGAAACCTTGAAACTTCACAGGCTGGGCGTAGTTGATCATTGTGGACAAGTACGGATGGATGTTCGTAGTAGCACCTACATATTTATAAGATGCCATCCAAGCCTGCTCATCTTCTACAGTGACCAGGCCCTGTGAGTACAAGCATATGCCAGTTTAAGTTGATGACTTTAAAGGGACTCATGGATTTAGCTTTAGGCATCCTTTCTAGAGAGCATTTGCATATATGTATCAATATATGCAAATGTAAAATATGTTCAAATGTAAAAGACCTTATTGTTCTCTTAAAGCATTACTTTAATATTCATAGATCTACTTTATGCAAAAGGAGGTAACCTGAAGACATCCATCTTATCCGTTAGATTTTTCAAAGAACTTTAAAATATCCAAGAAATTGTACTAGGGTCTCATGACAACACTGACAATGATAGCAATATTACCATTCAAACTGATGCACAAAACTCAAAATGAATGGCTATCCAGCATTTAGTGTATATCAAAATCACCCATAGGCTTTGTGGGCACAAACTCTTGGGCCCCACTGGAAGAGATCTGCTGGGGGAGGTCCAAAGGTTTGTCACTCCACAGCCAGTTTTCAGGCACGGAAGAGCAGGCCTGGAGATCACACTTTACAGTAGAACTCTTCTAGAACTTTCGCACACATATACATGGTTTAGGTATTTGTATCAAAGCATTTACTATTCAAAGAACTAGATAACTTGCTACATAGGATGTATTACTTTGTACAGAGAAAACCAAAACTATTCTCTTTATTTCTTAAGAACTCCAAGCAAAATGAACACAATCAACAACAACAAAATAATGCCCCACAAGTGGTCAGTATTTTTGTTGTTGTTGTTGAGAACTATAAAGTTATTTTCTTTGAAGAGATGCAATCTATGAAGAGAAACAGCCTGTATACAGAATGAGTACATAATCGTCGGTCATACTATTTTTTAAATCTTCGCTGATGACTTAACCTCTGAATCTTTGATATCAACCTGCTTTTCCTACAAAAGCCTGTGATAGGTCTTGTAAACATGCAACTTGCTTTTGTTTCCATCTTTTCCCACATAGGGTAATTCTACCCACCACCCTAAATGCCAGCATGAGCCACATCTGTTTGTCTCATGTGTTTCAGGTTAATAACACAGTGCTATGTGGTGGAACTGGGATGGAGTCCTGTCTTGCTGCCTGTGGGGCCCTGTTGCATTTGGACATATCCCTTCTCTTCCTATTGAACTTGAAGGGTTATGGCATGTATCAACGTTTATCATGAGGATTCTCATTAGTCACAAGGCAAGAATGAGGCTCTGGGGACTAAAATCATTCAGTTAATATATGGCAAACATCAATGGGTCAGTCTGTGTACGGCTGGCCCTACCATCTTATGGAAATCCAGTCTAAGTACTGGGTTCTCATAAACACAGGAAGGTAGGTATCCCTTAATGACGAATAGTTGGGAAATAAGAAGACATATCACTCTAAATGCAGCAGGGCCCCATGGACAGCAAGGCGGAATTTCCTGTACTCTGAATTGTGAGAATTCAGGGACAAGGCAATTCTGCCTGTGACTGCCATCATTTTCCACATTATACAATAAAACACACGCATAAATTCGAACATCATGAAGAACTTTGAAGAGTATAAAAGAAAATTAAAATGTAATATTCTTTATTTTTCACAATAAGGCCAGTGTCTGATACCATTGAATGAAGACCCTATAAGGTATGCAGTGTGAAACTAACCTTTCATAATGTCAGGATCCTCAGAACCAAGACCACTTTTCTACTACGCTATGATATGGCTCTGCTGCACTACTGGTCATTTTTATGTTCATGTGTAATATGTTAATGATTATGTAACTTTTTCCTTTGACTGAAATCTCATTCCATATAAGGAAATATCTTGCGGTATTAGACACTTACTTTGAGGAAGATTGTCTTATCTGCCTTAGTTATGTTTTTAAATCAGATTTAATAGTTTTATTGGTATGATTTTTTCCTTTTAAGTCTTATAACAAGATGAATCAGACATGTCAGTGTTACACCTGGAAACACTACTCGTGATATTGCATGGGCTAGGAAGATTACCAACACTTAGTAGAAGATGTTAAATATGAGAAGGCCACATGTGCTTGAGAAGTATTTTGTTACCTTTTTGTTGTTTTCATGTTCAAGGTCATCTGAGGTCTAAATTAGAGAAAGAAAATGATTTGTTTACCTCTCTAAAGGGCAAATTTCCAAACTTATAAGCCCATACTTATGTAAGTGAGCATATATGAACTTTTTATTCCGCTTGTTTAGATGGTAAATTATTGATGACATAAAGCCATGATTAAAAACAAATACTTCATATATGCTAAGCTCACAGACAGTGAACTTACTTTAGAAGTTTTAGTTTTGACACTTCCCTCCTCTGTTGACAGTCTTCACTTAGATGCTTCACTACAAGGTTTTCACTAAGGATTAAGGCATGAAGATTGAAAATGGATTACCAATGTGGCCACCTTCCCTTAAATGTAAAGGGAAGCACAAATGGTCATTTTCAGTGACCCTGCCATGAACTCAATGTTTGCAGCCCCACCAAAAGCATATGGTGAAACCTTAATTCCAGTGTGATAGATTGATGATTCCCAACTTAATGATGGCTTGATTTATGGTTTTTTGTTTTGTTTTATGAGGGTGTGAAGTGATAATCATTCAGTGGAAACTGTATTTTCAGTTTGATCTCTTCTTGGCCAAGGATACACTGTTTGGTATCCTCTTGTGATGCAGGACATTGGCTCCTTGTCAGCCACATAATCCCAAGGGTAAATGACCAGAACGCAACAGTATACTACATTGCTAAGCTACACTGTTCAACCAGTTAAGTGTATTGGATGCATTTTTAACTTACATTTATAACATTTTAGAATGTATTTGTTGCATGAAAAATAAAAGACCCAGAGTCAGATATTGGGGTTCAAACTTCTAGCTGGAGAATAGAAAAAGCAAAGTATTGGGGCACTAGCTCTTACCACTATCTCAGGCTGAAAGGGTTGATCCTCTGCCTCTTCTCAGCATGGCTGGAGAATGCTAAGACTTCAGTGTCTTCCTATCCTCCTTAAGACTGAGCCTTCCTATTTTCAGTGTGGCGGAGAATGAATGTCTCATCTTCAGTGTGTCTGGAGAACGAATGCCTCCTACTGAACACTGAAGACCCTGCTTCTATCTTTTATACCGTTCTAATGCTGGAATTAAAGGTGTGATCTGTTACTCTTTTAGACTGATTGAATCACATGTATCCCTGGGTGGCCTTGAACTCAGATTTGTCTACCTCTTAATCCTGAGTCCTAGGATTAAAGGTGTGTGCCTGGCTTCTATGGCTTGTGACTGACTTTGCTTTCTGAATCCTCAGGCAAGCCTTAATAAATCATAAACAATATATCACTACATATTTATCATAATCACACTCTAAGTCAAGACATCAGAACTTGGAGATGGGGCTTGTGGGAGGTAATTAGGTCATAGGGTGGAGTCCTCATAGTAGGGTTACTGCTCTTATGGGAAGTGATAAGAAAAATCTTACTTTCCCATTTTCTTTTCACAGTGGCAAGATACAACCTTCAAGAACATATTGGCTGGCACCAACCCAGAAAGCACCAAGAAATACATTTTATGTATTTGAATCAATCAGTCTGATACTTTTGTAATACTAGCCTAACCACTAGCCCACCCTAAGACAGAACTGATGGAGACTGTGTAATATATCAACAATCTTGAGTCTTGGTGGCCATCTATATTCTCAAAGTCCTCTCAATCCCCTGTTATCAGAAATGATAATATTTCTTTGACTTTTCTCTCAGACAAAAAAAAATCTATCTTCCTACCACTAAACCCTCCTAAATTACATTTTTGCCCACTGTCTTCACAAAGCAAGTAACCCTACTCTACCAAGGACTACACGTTCACATAGCTATGATCTCATCTACTCTAACCTTCTCAAGGAGTTCCCAGGCAGCTAGTGCTCTTGCATTAAACATCATCTGGATTCTAAAAGGGCATCCCTTCCATACCTTACGCCCACTACTTGAAGTTCCTTTCAGGGCAAAACTCTCAAAGGCAGAGACAATGCCTGTTCTTTTCTGCCTATCTGTTCCGCTGCTCCCTTTACTCCAAGCACTCTACTGAAACTTCTCTTCAACTTGCCAGGGATCTCCATGCCACCACCAATCTAGTGGACACAAGTCTTCGCATCCAATCACTCAACAGCATTCAAAGCCCATAACTGTCCTCTTCTCCTTTGTGTGGCTGCCAGCGAAGCCTTTATTTCTCCTTCCTGGATCCTCTCCTGTCAGCCCATGTTTGACTAGGGCTCCACTCAGGCCTTCCTTTTTAACTCTCGTGACTCATACCTGCTATTTTCAGGACTTCAAAATTATCTCTCAAACTTACATCTCTTGTTCCGCCTCTCTTCAATATACAGGTGCTGGTTATATGAGTGATGATGATAATGATAATGAGGATGAAAGTAATGGCAGCATAGCAGAACTACTAGCCTTACAGGGGTTACCATGTATATGGCACCTCGGCAAGTTCATTTAATCTTTGGTGAGTACCTGATGAAACAGGCTGTTACCCTCAGTTTTCAGATAAGGAAACAAAGCAGAGAGAGGTTAAACAACTTACCCATGGTTATATAGGACGTGAGGCCAGAGAATCAATTCTCCTCTTAGTACTTCCACTGGAATAGCTAATAAACATCTCCAGTTGCCTGTCCCATTTGAAACTGTGGAGTCCTTTCTCATGCAGTGCTTCCCACTCCAGTAAACAGTACCACTACCCTGCTTCTCTAACAAGGATTCAAGGTCATCTTGCTTCTCATTCTCTCACCTTCATTTTCAACCCTCCATCGGAAATCTGAACCATTGTTTATTTCCTTCATACCCAGTGGAACATTCTGTCCTCTCCCTTTCTAGTTTAACCACTAGAGGCTCTTTCTGACCAATTAAAAGCCCATTCTCTATGTTTTCTAAACTTCTACTCCGACTTTTCTCTAAATAAGAGTCCACAAAGGGACCACCATAATCTTCTATTAGATTACAGTTTCTCCCCCTTTTAAAGTTTTTATGTGAGACAAACTATGTTTCACATAAGTTTTTAATATCTCTCAGAAACTTCCAAACTTTTAAAGTATTTGATTCTCTCCCAGTACATCTCATCTTTCTCTACTCTACCCGCCATTCACTCTCCTACAATCATATCATCCTTGCTCTTTACTGTGGTCCCCCTCTGTGGAATATTCCTCTCCATCTCTCTGGAGAGTGAAATCATCTTTCCCTTTTGGGTTCTGGTCTCCTTCTTCCTGTCACCTCATTTTTTCATTATTCTCTACTTTAGTACTCATTTTTGCTTTTACAGTAGTACCAGCCACACATTGAACAGTGTGGCTCTTCACTCTCTGTTTCCCATCCCTTCTCCTAACTATAGGAGACCTATAGAAGCTACCAAAAGGCAAAAGGAACGTACATTTTGACCTGTTTAGAGAAGTATGGTCTAGCAACTACTAGGACTCTAATAACACTATTTTCTTAGCTTAATGGCTGGAAACCTTCTATACTTTTGTTGGGATAAATTTTCTCACCAGTTGGACCAACTCTGTATTGAGGCTTTGATTTGGAATGCTCAGTGTTAATTTTCCTAATGGTTCCAACAGGCTAACCTTTGGCTGTAGGATACTGTATCCTTACCCACCAACTATACTTCCATAAATAGTGGTATTTATAAAAGTCTGACCAAAGTGGCTAGCAGCCAGTAGAGGGTAAAATTAATAAGTAATTTAGAGGTCCTTTAAAATGTAATATTGTGAGTGTGCCAAATTCAGGCCACACAGCAGAGAGATTTGTCCTATATAATTAGAGGGAAGACACAATACCTGTTTCTCCTGTGGTTGGAACAGCCCAAAAATTCCACAAAATTACCATTCTTAAAAATAAAGAAGAATAGGGACACAAAGCCTCTGACCTTCTTGACGCTGTTTGCAACTGCTTCCTTGTGACTGAAGTCATCAGCAGATAGTTCACTTCCAAATTTGTACTCAGGGTGGGCTTCTTCTTCTTGATCAGCTGCTTAACAGACAGAAAAAGAAAACGACTATGAAGCTAATGTACTCCCAGTCAGACCCTGCCCCAAATGCCTGGGAAAACACGAGAGAAGGTTCCCATGACCTACAGCATGTAACCAGGATTTGGAAAACACCCACTGTCACTAAGGAGTCTGTTTCATTTACAGGTGCACTAAAGAATGAGAGCTCTTATTTTATTGCGTTACATGCTGACAAGGCAGTGATACAAACTGTCTGTATTGTAGCTAGATATACAATGGCATAGTTATTATTAATGTTTTTCTTGTTAATTCATTCCATAGTTTCTGCAGTTTGTCTTACTGGAGTATAGATCAGTAATGCCATACATGCATTCAGTTAACTTCTTTGGAACTTAAGCTGAATTGAAGAACCTTTTCTAAATTTTAGGATTATTGTTTTGTTAATATATATATATATATATATATATATATGCACTTTATTTAAATATTGTTTTATATTATTTTTTAAAATCTGAAAAATCCAATTGTTATATAGCATATATTCAAAGACAGCCACACTGATATCTGACCTGTCACTTACCTGCTCTCTTGAACATCGATAGCCCTAGGACTGCTCTGATGAACAAAGTAGAGACTAAGAGATACTCCAGATCCATGCATAGCTCTGTTTTTTTGTTCAACTGTTTGTTTGGTTTTTTGGCTTTTCTTGACAGGGTCAGCCCTAGCTGTCCTGGAACTAGCTCTGTAGACCAGGCTGGCCTCGTAATCACAGAGATCCACCTGCTGCTGCCTCCCAAGTGCTGGGATTAAAGGTATGCACCACCACCACCACTGCCTGGGCCCATGCATAGCTCTTAAATAATATGATAGCTCCTACTTCCTGCGTCTAGGACCCAGGTTCTTAGATGCTACAACTCAGCCAACGTGTTGTGAGATGCTGAAACTACATTGGTGCCACAAGGGGACATTGCTCAAAAGATCTAACTGAGATCCACAGATAGTTAAATTTATGAGCAACCTTGTCTAACTTGTCTATAAATCTCAAGATAATGCCAAATCCTGATGTTCACCTGCTGGCAAATGTATGAAAACCCCAAGGAAAAATAGCCAATTGAACCCCAGTGGCTCACAAAAATCATAAAAGGTAATTATAAACCACAGTTTTAAGCCTCCAAATTTGGATGGTGCAATATTTAGTAAGATATAACCATTATATGAACTAACTGAATAATGCCAGAAATCTTTTCTAGCTGGCAGTTCCTCTCTGCCTTCCTTTACCCAGAATTTTCCTAGTCTGGTAGCCCTGCCTATGCTTCTTGCTTGGCTACTGGCCAATTAGCATTTTATTAAACCAATATGAGTGACAAATCTTTACAGTTAACAAGAACATTATCCTACATCATTTCCCCCTTTTCAAAACAGAACCCTGAATCTAATCTTGTTTAGCTTTTTTTTTTTGACCATTATCCATAACAACTTGTAACCTCACACTAAACAAAAACAAACATCCATAATCCATTTTTGGGGAATGTGGACATAGTTTTCTAGCTTGGCCTTTTTGACCCTACAAGGCACAGAGAAACATAAGAAAGTCAGATGCTATGCTTTTTTTTTTTTTTTTTCCTGGGACTAGAGCTAAACCTGATTTATTAATGGGAAATCTCTCACAGTCAGGGTCTTTAATAAGGGACAGTGAGTAAGATTAAATAATTCTGACAGTTTTTAGGTTTAGCCTATGAATCTAATCTCCTAAAATCAGACATAGTTCAGATGTGTGGATAACAAAGTTTCTATAAGTACTTAGTCCCAAGTCAGTCTATTCACCCATGTCTCTGTTACGTCAATTCAAGTTCAAGTCATTTGGGAAGATAATTGTCAGGATACATAATCAACAGGTCATTACCTGAAAACATTCCCAAACTTTCAAATGCCCCATGGATTAATTCATTACTAATTATTATATACTTATTTTTCAGTGCAGGGAAGTAAACCCAGGGCTTTGCTCATACGAGGCAAATATGCTACTCCTGAGCTACAACTTAAGCACCAATTCTAAACAAGACATGATGGCTGGCTATATAGAGAAGGTAAAATAGGGATGGTAAATCTTCAAGTATTTTAAGTAAGGCTGCCAGGAAGTCTGGTGAGAAAGTTTCTTACATTCTAGGCCTGTGCTGTGTCACTGAGTTATACCCAGTATAGCTCATGAACTAAGTAATTAATTTTTTAAAAAAAATGTAATACATGCTTTGACTGTCAAGTTCACTTTGTACACATCAGCCAGTCATTTCATTAGGGCTCTCTTACCCTCTTACCCTATGTTCCTTGTGTCACTACTATTGAAATACCCCTGCCCCTTAGCTCTTAAGTTTGCCTCCTCCTCCGGTCGGCAGCTCCGATGAGAAACACTCCGTCCCAAGGTCTCCGCCCCCAAGGTCAGCCATCTGGACTCGGAGGGGGGAATTGAGTCAGTTGTACCAGACACCAGACCTTGAGAATATGCTGGTCTGGAATGGCTCTGTGCCTCATTTGAACCATCCAATAGAAATGACTCTGTATTTCACCTCATTTGAATGACTCTATACTTTGCCTCATTTGAATAACCCTGAGTAGCGCCTCATTTACATTGACCAATGGGAATAGCTCTGTACTGCGTCTCATTTGAATTATCCAATAGAATCCCTGCTTCTCGCTTGCGCTTCTTGCTATATAAGGACCCCTCTCCCTTGGCTCGGCGCGCTTGGCCTCACAGAAGCTAAGTCGCCCCGGGTACCCGTGTCTCCAATAAAGCCTCTTGCAGTTTGCATCCAAGTTCGTGGTCTCGCTGATTCCTGGGTACGGGTCTCCTTCTACGAAAGTACCTCCACGGGGGTCTTTCACTATCAATAACAAGACTGAAGTTCATGTTTTTCTTTATAGGAAAAGATTAAGGATCCATTCAACCCTCGCCTACTATACAAATGATTCAAGGCCAAGTCTCTGTGAATCATTTCTGGAAAGCTCAGTGCACAGTGGGAAGGGAGACTACTAAGCTACTACCATCCACTGTCCAGATAAACTGCCAACAACAATATCTGAAGAAAATACCAACCCCCCAAAAAGATTAACACTAATAAAAGAAGTACTCCTGAATATTAAGCAAGATAATGCCATCACTATTCAAATGAATTCATTAAGAGATTACTCTTAAACCCACAGGAACAGTTGGCCTGAACAAGGGAGAGCACATCGACCCC